CTGCCTTAGTTGGAACTGTGTTCAATATGTACACAACCGTGTTTGAGAGCTTCAGTCCACAAAACAACATACACATTCATTCACAAATTTAAATGTCTCCTGCTCTTTCCGGATACATATCCCGAATAGGCAAAACAAAACTGATATTATTTCACTTGTCTCTCGAGCTCTTTGCAGAGACTTATCCCGAAGAAATCAAAATTACACTTGAAATGAATAATTTTTCAACTGATCTAAAAAAGGAGAACACATTCTTAGTTCTGACACTAGCCTGATAAATCATCCACGTACAGTTGCAAGAATTTCCAATACTAAACAAAAGAATACAGTTGCCTTTTATCCGACTTCACTAGAACATTCAACTTTTGGCAAGCAAAGCACGCATCATTATATACTACACCTCATACTTGCAGAGGTTCTCGAAACCCATGTACTCATGCCGTTCAATCTTTCCAATCATATTCGAAATCCCAACTCCGCCTGTTTAGTTCAAAATATAATCCCATAATTAACAAATTAATAATATATCTCTAAACTAAAAATGTCAGCTTCAGCTTCTGATTCCGCTGAGTTGAACATTTCGAACTTTAACGCAATTTTTTTTTTTACTTTATGGCTCATAAACCAAAAGCTCTGGTTTAAAATTTATTCAACATTTAGAAGTGCTTATATGCAGAGTTTATGAAGTGCTCACCAAGAGAGATTGCGCTCACGAATATGGTGAAGGAGAGAATGAAGATAATTATGGAAGCCCTTCCCATTACAATAATCATCCTTCTAACGACATGTTGACCGATAAAAGCAGCAACAGTAGCAACAGCAACAAAGTACAGAGCTGTCACATATATTCATCATTATGAGACGACAAATTAATTTTCAAATTTTCAATTTTCAATTACACACGTGCGTTTGTGTGTGTGCGTATGTAAATATTAGAACATGAAACTAATAACATTAACGTTGTCAGCATGCAGTAACTAACCATAAGGAACTGGGAAACGTTTTAGGAGGTAATATTCGACCACCGACATTGATGATGAAAACATCATGGCAAATGTGGCTGTTGCACTTGAAACCTTCAAAATGAATTTTTCAATTAACAGATGTAATCATGGATTTTCAATAATTTATAAAAATATATAAAATATATGCATGATGGAATCAATTTTATAAATATCCATAATGAGATGAGCGAAAAAGGTGTTCATGAAGCTATTATCATCGATAGTTACATGTGTGTGCAATCTCTCTCTCTCTCTCTCTCTTTGGTTTTTTATTTTTTTCCTTTTTGTAACAAAAATTTTAAGTGATCTCTAAACAATCTTTCGTGAAAACCAAACAGTTACTTGTACAGATGTGCACCAGATTTGATGCCTCATTAGGTACACGTAAATAACGTATGTGACAAACAAAAACCTGCATTTTCTTTTCATTCGTTGTGAAATCAGAAAATTCGTAATTCGGTGTTATGAACAATTGGAAGACCACAAAAGGCAAGCAGTCACTCACAGTGTCTCCCATACCAAACATATCAAGTAATCTCATTTCATAAATACAGTTTTTCCCCCTTTTCCAATGACCAAAAAAGGTTTCCTTCAATCGAGGTTAAGTAAAAACAAATTGAAGCTGAAAGGAATAAAAATCATAATGACTACTAGTCGATACATGGTTGAATGCATGAGGCCCATATCTTGAAAAAACTACCAGAGTAAAGTGATGGTTTGCAAAAACTAACCTCTTAATTTATTTAAGAACCACCAAAGAGAAAATTAAAAAATAAAACAGAAAACAGAAAGATAAGCTTACTCACCCAGAACATATGTAAAACAGTAGGAACTCACCTGAGGAGGAACACCTAATTCCAAAAACAGTGGGCCCATGATAAATCCACCTCCTAGACCGAGAAGCCCCCCAACCAAACCAGCCAGGATACCAAAGCAGCCATAAACGATTAGCTGGAGTACACTAAAGTTCGTACCTTCTTCTCCCTTTGATCCAAGTTTTCGCCAACCCTTGTACAGGCTAAGTCCTTCATATCCAGATACACCCAAAGATACAGGAATCTACATTAAACATTGACAAGGTAAATTTCTGTGCCAAACATTTTTGGAAAAAGTACATGGCAACTTCTGATAATTCTATATGACTGGAACTACTTTACATTTGTAATCCTGGTTATCATTAACTTTAATCACCAAAAACTTTAATTATTAATTAGTTACTTTTTAAGCTTGCAATTGTAAAGTGCAAATACGGTAGATTTTTAATTCTGTTACTTTACTTTTTTTTTTGGGCAAAGATTACATGCAGTCTCAGCCAAGTCTCGTATGTACGCTACCAACTATAAATATGCATTATGCGTATAGACATACCTGGAGCAAGTTAACCACCCAGTATATCGCTGAACAAGTAGGCAGGTAATTCTGTTTCAATTCAAGAACAGAAAGTTTACAAGCATAAAAATGCTAAATGAAAGTAAAAGAATATCAATGGAAGTTTTGAAAGAAAGATAGAGGTAGAGAGAGAATGTTCACGAGCCTTGATGATCTGCAATGCAAGAAATGCAAACCAGACGAAAGCAAGAAGCCCAAACTCCTTCCAACAAACATTCTCGATAATTGCAACCTGAGACAATGAGATGCTATATCAAATGAACCTTTTTGGTAGTAAGAATATATTTGAAGAAGTTTGATGAAGTCTCTCACTGTTTGTTCTTCTAAGCCTTTACCAACCGTGTTGTTGCTAGGCCCACCAGGAAGAAGCTTGTATTCTGCTTCGTCTTTGCCTGAAAGACCCGGATAAAATAAGAGATGCACTTGTAAGAGAAACGTGAGAAAGGAAACAAATTGGAATAATTTTATGAACCTACCATTTGCCTCCACTTGCTTTGCAGCTTCCTACAGAAAGAATCAACTGGCATTTAGAACTGAACCACATCATAAATTTATAATAAAATAAAAACGAAACAAATTTTATTTAGTATTAGGGATTTCAAACTATTAAGTATAACATGGCTTTTAAAACTCAATGATGAGCTGATGACAATCTCATGCAAAACCAACCAAGAAAATTAGATCTTAATATCAGGATAATACAGTCATCAAAACTCATCCTCGGATACCAGTAAACAGTGAACCCGATTATTAAGATAAGAGAACAATTCTAGTTACCTTTTTCAAGATAGTTTCTTTCTTCCAAGTTTCGACTCCTTTAAAGAAGGCCTTAGTTGATGTAACTGTAACCATCATATTAGGTCAAATAACAATCAAAATCAGACTATGTATGTATGTATGTGTGTGTCTATATTACAAACTTTTCACCTATGAAGAGGAAGATTAGTAGAACAGTAACCATCCAATCAGCAAAAATAACATTGAATGTAACACCAATGCTAATGCCTAGCATAAGCATCGGCTGAATGAGTACAGCTAAATCATAGTCGATAATCGGCATCTCAATGGTCGGATGTCTGAGCCTAAGGTTGTAATAAACAGTCGAGACTGCTGCGCCCATTATCATACCTGTCAAGTCACGAGAAGAAGAAGACGCAAAATCGAAAACATTATAATTGCAACACCACAACAGAAATATTCACAAATCAAACATTTCATTCATTCTCAATACGACCCCCAAAAAAAAAATCAATAATGTCATTATAACTCCTTACATTTGGAAATAGCAGTAGCAGACTTAGGATCGAAACCAACAATCAGAGTAAGCATAGGAACAAATATGCCGCCACCGCCAACGCCACCGACACTCCCAAAGGCGGCAC